ATTAAAAAATTTTGAGGAATTTTATTCCATTCCTCTTTTAAAGTAGCCTCAAGTTTAAGATTTCTTAGATTGTTGGATGACTTCTAATACAGTATACTGTTGTGGTAGGAAGCCAAGTATTTTAGAAATAATTTTATATGAGGCTCCACTTTTATAAAGGCCAACTATTTGTCCATGTTGAGCTTCAGTTAAATTAGACTTTTTTTTTTTTGAAATTTAAAATTTTGAAAACTTTTTAGATCTTTTTTTAAAAAAAAAGATCTTAAAAAATATGCGATAAAAAATACTTTTTCAGAATCAGCAAAACTTGGATTTTCATATACAAAATTTCCAAAACATATAATTATGTAGGTTCTTGGACAATTTCTAAAAACATCATGTCAAAAATTTTTGATTGCCAATACTTAATTGAATTTCATTTTTATGTGTTTATTCAAGTTCTACGGAACCTAGACACACAAGACTTTGCATAAATATTACAAGAACCTAAACCGCAAATGATATAAATTTCATATATGTTTATTATGTAAATTTTTGTGCAATTAACAAAAACAAGTGTTCCGAAACTTTTGTCCAGGTACTGTAGGTAAACTCGATAAGTCAGTCTCTTGATAAGTCGGATTTGGTCTAACTCGGCCAAAAATTTTCAGCCCTTTTTTTCAATATTTAAAATCTCTTGATAATTCGGCCAATATATATAAAATCACGATAAGCTGCAAGTCGGCCAACCCTTCTTCTAGAGTATGTGTAATAGTAAATTACTCTCGATAAGTCGGTCACACGTGATATTTGGATTGAAGGTCATCATTACTATTTTTAGTAATGTGTAATATTATTTTGGGGCCATTTTATTCGGTCACAAGGAAAGCATCACACAAAGTTGACGATCATTTATTACTTGAATAAATAGATATATTTTTACATTTTTCAACAAATGTGTTTTGTAAAGGGATTCAATGGATTCCTATTTTTATTATATTTAATTGTTGTAAAAGAATATATTTATTTAGAAGTACAAAAATGGTTATTATGTGCGTTAAGTTATTTGTATTATTAGTATTGATTTTTTATAAACTATATTGAATTTATATGCATAAATGATCTGCATTAAATCTTGTTGGTTACATTTATTGATTATCTTAGAAAAAATGTTCTTTCTGTATCAATTAATTGCATCATTTATTATCTCATTTGATAATTTAGAAAAGAAGAAAAATCATTTCCTTTTGTATTGTGAACAACGCATTTATTTTTATTATATTTTTTATGTATAAAAATGTTATAAACATCAATCTAAAAAACAAATTTCCTTCCTCTGATAATATAAATTTATTTTTATTTGTAATGAACTTCAAGCCAATAAAATTTAACTTTTGCATGATATCTGGAAGGGAAGATAGTCACAAATTTAGCCGATGAAATCTTGCTTCACGAGGTCACCAGGTAATTCTATGAGAACCCATGTGCTTTAATGGGGTAAAAACAGAACTTTTTTTTGACAAACTAGTGTAAATGGGATCAGAACTGGTATCCAAAAAAAAGGTAAAAATTTTTTTTGATTTTTTCTCAAAAAAAGGGTAAATTTGAAACATTGAAATATGTCCCGATCCATATAAAAGGTAGTAGTAGATTTAGGGATGGAGTAATTCCATGTGGCCAGAACTATTTGTAACACAATGATAATAATTAACCTTAAAAAAAAAAATAGTATATAATTTATATATATTTTTATATTTTAATGATTGATAGAAACATACAGAAGTGGTAGTGGTAATGATAAAAAGTATAATTTTTATTAAACAATAACATTTATTAATAAATACTATATAGACTTATATTGGTGATTGATAGAAACAAAATACACATTATTAATAATAATATTTTTGATTGATAAATAGTAATAGAAATACATATATATTTTTAAGATCATCTTATAGTTGGATAATTTTCAACAAAAAAAAAACTTTAGTAAAATGGTAAAGACACATAATTGTAAAAAAAACTCACAAGAAAACTTCTTGGAGAACACAATCTAGTTGGTATATAATAGACAGTAAAACTGTGTATTGTGTCTGTGGTGATAGGATTAGATTAGGTAAAGAGTGGTATCCTGATTTGTTAATATGTCATGCAAAAAATAATAGATGTCAAGAAGCAAGGAAAGGAAGACAGACTATTACTAAAAAATTTTCCACTAAATAATACAAATAACACACAAAAAAAAAACTCCTTGTCAAGGTTTAAAAAATGATAAAATTATTAATTATTTAGAACATGTTGGAATTTGGTGGTTCACATCCTATAAAAGAGATTGCAAAAGAAATATTTCCAGAAAGCTTTGAAAATAATAGTGATAGCTTCCATTGGGATGATTTTCCTATTGAAGCTCAAGAAATTATAAGAGAGTTCAGATTATTTACTATGTTGGTTATGGATAAACAGATATTAATTATCAATTAAATACTCAATTATTTACATTCCATTCAGAAATTTGGAATTTGGTATAGGTTTTTAAATAATGAAAGCTCAATCAAACTTTTAATTCAATCTATCAATTGATGATGTGAATAAAAAATTTAAATTTTTAATAATAAATAGAAAAAAAAATTGTATAACTGGTATGTTTAAAGAAGGTAACTTAATAAATTTTGTATGTACTGTGTGATCCAAAACGGTGTAAATTTTGAAATAGGGTAAATTTAATGAAATTTACTAATTGACCAGGATGATAGTTCACTTATAATTACCTGGTGCAGTGTTCGGCGGAATCGGCGCGCGCTAACCAAATCTGGAAATTCAATGTAGATAATTTCCAAATTAGACTAGCTTGATGTCGAGGCACAGTCGAATTTCGAACACTGACCCGGTGCCCTGTTATTTTTTTTTTATAAAATATTTTTGGAATAGATCAACAAAGGTGCGCATCCAAATTTGTATGGATTGTTACACGACGAGATTTCAACATCACTATGGTGCGCGAAGCCTATAACCACCATTTTGCACGTGATTTTTGAAAGAATAGAAGTCCGTTTCTGTTGATCCTTTTTTAAAAATAACTCTGTTATTGCA